CCAACAACGGCCTGCTGTGATGCATTTAACAACTTATTTACAGATAAATAAGTTGTTAAATTTGGGTTAAGCAAGGTGTCCCCTTGCTTAACCCAACAACGGCCTGCTGTGATGCATTTAACAACTTATTTACAGATAAAATCTCTCAGATAAGAGCCAACTTAGACACCATTGTTGTAACAGAATCTATAGGTGAGGTGTCCAGTGACTCCATCAATAAAGTTATTCTGGATCAGCTCCAATCTGTGAGTACCGAGGATGTGGACAAGCTGCTTGGTAGAGTGAGGAAAACAACTTGCCCTCTTGACCCATGCCCATCATGGCTGGCCGTCCAGGGGGGGGGGAACGCTTCTGAAAAAACCTTCCCTGGACCCCCTGAATATGAATAACTACAGGCCTGTTTCTTTGTTGCCATTTTTGAGCAAGGTAATTGAGAGGGCGGTTGTTCTTCAGCTCCAACCTGTCTTGGATGAAACCGATTATCTAGACACATTTCAAACCGGCTTCAGGACAGGCTTTGGGGTTGAGACAGCCATGGTTGCCTTGACCGACAATCTGCGTCTGAGCATCGACAGGGGTAGTGTGACCCTGTTGGTGCTCCTAGACCTCTCAGCAGCTTTTGATACGATAGATCACGGCAGCCTCTTGGACTGCCTGAGGGGGTTAGGTATCTGGGGCACTGCATTGCAGTGGTTCCTGTCCTTCCTCTTGGGTAGGTCCCAGAGGGTGCCACTCAGGGACAGTAGCTCCAGGAAGAGGGAGCTCAATTGTGAGGTCCTGCAGGGAGCTATTTTGTCCCCAATGTTGTTTAACATCTATATGAAGCCGCTGGGTGAGACCATACGAAGTTATGGTGCTGGGTGTTATCAGTACGCTGATGACACCCAAATCTATTTCTCCATGTCTCGTTCGTCGGCCTCGAATTCCAGTGGTGTCTCCTCTCTCAATGAATGTCTTCGGGTGGTAATGGACTGGATGAGGAAAAACAGATTGAAACTGAATCCGGACAAGACAGAGGTGCTCACGGTAGCAGCCCCGAAACCAAGAATTGGGTTGCAAACTCCAGTCCTGGATGGAGTCACACTCTCCTCCAGTGACTGTGTTTGCAGTCTGGGGGTGCTCGTAGACTTGTCACTCCTGATGACAAATCAGGTAAATGCGACAGTCAGGACCGCCTGCTATCAGCTTCAGCTTATATACCAGCTGCGCCCTTTTCTGGAAGTAAGGGATCTTGAGACTGTTGTGTATGCACTGGTAACCTCACGCCTTGACTTCTGTAATGCACTCTACATGGGGCTACCGTTGTGCCTGGTTCGTAAACTACAACTGGTTCAAAACATGGCAGCTAGGCTTGTGTCGGGAACATCCAGGAGAGACCACATCACTCCGGTTTTGAGGTCCCTCCACTGGCTGCCGATTGGTTTCTGGGCCCAGTACAAGGTGTTGGTTATTACCTTTAAAGCCCTAAATGGCTTGGGTCCAAGCTATCTCAGAAAACGCCTCCTCCCATACAATCTTCCCCACGCTCTCCGGTCCTCTGGGAGGAACTTGCTGCAGCCTCAAAAATCTAGGCTTGTGGAGACCTCCCAGAGGACTTTTTCTGTTGTTGCCCCCAGACTCTGGAATGGCCTGCCAGATGAGATCCGCCAATTAACATCTTTGGACAGCTTCAAAAAGGCTGTCAAGACGGATATCTTCCAGCAGGCCTTCCCAGACTAAAATATCCCGGCCTCGGGATCTCCCCCCCC